GTGCTGGACTGAATCATTCGGCTGGCCGTGAGGACTGAGAAGATGGGAAAACGCTGCACTGACAAAACCACTCTAGGAGATCTGGATTTCGTGCATGACTCACGTCTCGTGTCGCACAAACTCGAGGATGTACAAGAGAAAGCCAGCAAACTGGTATAACAGACAGTGAAGACGGCACTTCAGGTGAACGTAGAGACGACAGATGTGATGAGGACACATGACTACCCACAGAAAACAACAATCACCACCAATGGGAGAAATCTGAAGGAAGTCATCTCTCTCGCTTTCCTAAGCACCATCGTTTCGATCGCTGACCAGCAAGAGATCAACTCAGATGAAGCCAGTGAAAGGTAGTCATGGAAAGCCAATTACGAATGAGGTGGAACAGAGCGAACGCTCCATCGATCACTTCAAACGACTCTTGAATTGACCACCACCTACTCTCCCACAAACACCACCAGAAGACGCAGAAAACTACCGGCGAACATCAACACTCTAGCAGAAACAGAAGCCTTGAAGGCCATGAAGTTTCTTAAAAAGCCAGTCGCTAAAGCAGAATGACCACATCAAATCCCCTCCAACCCACCGCCTCACAGAAGTACTGAAAACGGATACAGTGACTTCAACGGACATGCTCGCATCACTACCTTGTCAAACTGTCAAAGCCTATGCGACGACAACTCACCTGGAGTCTCGCTCCTCTCCACAGACAGCAAAATATGCAGTCACATCATCCTGGAAAGACTAAAACATGTCCTGCATAGAAGACTTAATTCGCAACAGGTTGGATTCAGAAAAAACAAGTCATGCACGAAGCCAATTGCAACAGTAAACATCAACAGAGCTTAGAATGCCAGTCAACTCTGCACGTCAACATCGTCGACTTTGAAAAGGCCTTCGACAGCTCAGACCGTGAAGTAACTCGGAAACTGTTTCAAGCCTACAGTCTGCAGTGCCGAAAACACTTATCAAGCTCATTCAACACCGATATGATGATGACACATTCCGCGTAGTTAACATCGGAGTGCTAACTGAACCTTTTGTAATAATGAACTTGTACGTTTTTTTTTGAATTGTGTAAATTTTGAGGAAATTTTGGCACGATGATAATAGTGGACATGTTGGTGGCTACGTGTTCGTTTTCTCATTTTCTTTGTCGAACCCCGCGTAAAAGCGTATATAGAATGAAAACCTGTTCAATTTTTTTCTTGTGAACCCGTCGTTGTGTCAGATTCCTATAATGACGTTTCCCCTTAGGAATTATTATTTATTTTGATTATAGCTTGAAACCACACAGTGTTTTTTGTTACAAGTAAGGAATTGTCAGCATGTGATATCGGTCGCCCAAATTTTGCAGTCCGACCAATTGTTATCAGCTCTGCATCGTTCGGGGATCGAACCCCTTCCCATTTGAATCGTCGTCGAGAATCCTAACCGCTGTTCCACCGACCCAAATTACTATTAAGATAGATCGTTTGATTCCTCGAGGCGCCTTCTAGCTTTCAACAGAGGAATCATGAATTCTGACGCAGACATTCTGCTATTTTCTAATGCTTACTTTAAAGAGGCTGCGTTTTATGGACTACTTCGTGTGGAGTCAAAATATTATGAAGTTTCCTCTTGAATAATGTTTCTTTCACTGGAAAGATTGACATGTAGGAAATATTTCAAATGCTTAATCTCCCTTTTTCTGATTTTTAGGCTGAAATGCTCAACTTTCCCATCTTCACTACCAACTTTTGGATCAACCAATTTGATTCCTGATGAATATTTCTCAATGAGTCTGTCCTTTCTCACTTTTTGAAATGAATACTGCTTTGCACATTTTATACTATTAACGGAGCCTTGCTGACGTTATCGTATATCAAACATATTTTGCAATCCCTCTTGGTAACTGAGTTCGTTGTCTGATGAGCTTGTATGCCCTCCCACGAAAATCAGTCTCTAAAATGTTTCTAGCCTAGGAATAAAGTTGAAAAGCAAACAGTCAAGTTTTCCAACAAATAATGCGTATTTGTAAATCTAAACACATAATAACATTAGTGCTAAATGAGATTTGTTAACGATATTCATGTTTTCTTTTAAGTAGAAATACTTTAATCCAAGCCACTGAACTTCATGAAATTAAGGAAACTGTAGGAATAAAAATCATCCTTCACGTCTCTACACAGAAACACTTGTTGTGTCATTTCCATGCTTTCTTTAAATATATATATATATATATATATCATATGTAATGTTATCTCAGATCTCTACTGTTATAGTACACAGGCGATAAAATCTTTTTAAGAGATGGCTTCTTAACCGCCCGCAGAGTGAACGTCAAAAGATTGGTTACTTAGTGTGCCCAAAATGTTTGATAATAACATTTCTTGAAAACAAAGCAATTGAAGTTTTCAGCAATTATTGCGATAAAGGGTGGGAAACATGCGAAATCTAACATAACATTCCAAGTCAGAGAACAAATAAGAAAAGGTGATTTTTGCTGATAACGTTTATCATCACCGCAAGCCTTATGGTTCAAGCTTGAAGTTCAAATAAAGTATTATGGGCGAAAGGATTGTGACTAAAAATTAAATCCTGTGAGTTTGAAACCTGTAGACGCGAATGCTGCAATTGATAAGAACTCCTAGTTGCGTTCACTAACGAAGAATTGTGAGTTCAATATAAAGCTGTTTATCATGAGATTGCTATACATTCCGACCACCGAAACACCTTCAATCTACTTTCGAAACTAGAATTTTATCCTTATTTGCAAATAACAAAAAGCTTGTAATTACTCTAAACTTTTCATACTGCACACTAATTGTAATATATGCCCATGGTTTACTTCATGAATTCCTATCTACTTAAGCACTGAATTATGGTTAACTAGTATTCTGGTTTAAAAAGACTATAGAACAGCGAAATACCTAGACAAAAAATATTATTAATAATCCATTTAAATGTACGCAAAAATATTACTAACAATCTTGGTTTTCTGACTGCATGCTTCTTCAGGTCCGTTGTTGCAATTTACTATGCTCTCATTTGATTATTCGACATTAACACCAACAATAATCTTTTAGCTAAATGGCTTTTTATCAGAAATCAGCCAGTGATCCAAGGAAAACGGTCTTACCTTAAATCCCTCTAAATGTGAAACGGTCAATTTCACCTTTAGGCATAAATCTGACCTAAACAAACTGGTTAGCACTCATGAGGTGTACAACATAGATGGCACTGAAATAGAAACCAAGTCGGAAATTAAATACCTAGGCGTCATTCTATCTGCTGATCTTTCCTGGTCGTCTCACATCTTGATGATTTCTAAGAAAATATTCAGTCTTATCTTCTACATCAAGAAGTTAAGATATTCAGGAATAACCCAACCCTTACTCTTACGACTCGTTAACTCTTGCATCCTGCCTATTATTCTCTATTGTTCCCTCTTAGTTTTTCAAGGTTAGTGAAGAAGGACTATATCTTATTACGTAGGATGTTAAAGGTTGTCAGCAGGGTAAGCAACGTGCCACTTGACCAGCTTGTTAATATTCTGGTCGACAGGCACTTGGACTCATGTAAAAAATGGGCTAAATCCATTTTATTTAACTCACACCACCCTAATCATTCACAACTCTCCCCTTGTATTTCATCAGGAGAAACCAGAAACCTATATAGAAAACCATATGCTAGCACTAGCAAGTACAAAAACTCACCTTACCCTACTTAGCTCGTATTCTGTGCGATAAAGAAAGCAATAGGCGTGATACCTATAATTTATTAAATAGTCAGTAGAACAACTGGATCTCGTCTTTCCAACTCATATCATTTATAGGTACAACGTTTTCTCTCTCTTTTGTTATGTGCTGTTTTGTTTCTCTCTTCCTTACAAACTCTATTAAAATATTCTTCTTCGCTCTCTTGCACTCTGTATATCTCGACCTTTTAGTTACCGCTTACGTTAGTAAATGTGCTAGTATCTACTTTTCTAACACCTTCAAACATTCTGTTCACTTTTGGCTTTGCTACCGACATGCTCATATGTTGCTGTCGAAATTAACTGAGACTACTCATATTCTATGTAGAATTTTATTTATTGATAATGTACTAACTGGATGGAATACTGCATGTAGTGGAATGCTGAGAATTCCATTCTGTATCACAAGTAGTGTTTTGGAATAAAGCAAATTATTATTATTATTATTATTAGCTAATATACAGCTGGAAAAAATGACAATCAGTTGGCCTGATTGAGGATAATGGTACCGTTGCCCTTAATTCTTGCCGACTGCCAACACTACAATTGTACACACACACACACATTTGTAGTTTTATTTTATTTTTTATTTTGGATTACAGCTTGATTCCACACCGTATTTTTGGTACAAGTATGGACTTTTCAGCGTGGATATCGGTGGCCCGAAATTCGCAGGCCAACCATAGATATCAAGTGTGCGTCGGCGTGGGCTCGAACCCCGGACCATGTGCATGGTCGGCGAGAGTCCTAACCACTGTGCCACCGACGCACTACACGCATGATGATGCTTTCTGACAACCGATGTCGACAAGTACAGTCACGTCACGTCAAGTTAATAATCATAATCTTTTACCGAATGTAACGAAATAACCAACGCGAAACGATATCATTTTTCATATCAGTTAATCAGAAGTTAAACAGAAGTGTTCTGACTAGTGATCAAATCTTTCATCTACTGAGTAAAATGCGAAAAGGGTATTCAGGGGCACACGCCACCCAAATTCCATGCAAAGTGAATTCAATTTATAATTCATAAGATTGAATAATAATGATCAGTATTTATTGGTAAGGAAAAACACAATTAGTAATCATTTGAGAATCAATACAAAAATAGGCAGCATAACAAAGCCTCTTTGAAAATTAATCACACTAATAATGCTTCCATGCATTAACTGTGGAGTTTTATTGAGAAATAGGAGTGACTAACAAAATCAGTTGCCAGGAAAAAGTTGTAAAGATATGTGATCCTAGCGATTTGCAATTAATCCTCAAACATAAGTTCGACAAGACCAGGTTTTAGGACCTCACTGTCGGATAATCTTTTCATCTACAGTTTGGAGAAAATGTTAGAAATTATATGCGAAATTGAAACTTACTGTATTAAACTCGATCAGAGACGGGATGCTAGTTATTCGACATTTTGGATGTGTTCTAAATACATTTTCTGGGTCACGCCAACTGATAAAGTAAAGTAAAGTAAAGGAATATGAAAACATACGTATTTCTATCTCCTACTTCAACCTTCAGAAATACAGCATTTTCTGGTAATTTCTCCAGTGCTTTCTTTATTATTGGCTCACCTAAAAAGTAATTTTTTAAACAACCACATAAAAGAAGTACGATTTAGAAGAACTACTGGTTATATTAGTGGCAATAAGTAATCTTGAAACATTAGTCAGAGAACGGTCAGTTCATACGGGAATTCTTCTAATTATACAAAGTAATGGTTGGCAAAAATGTACTGAGTCAGTTATATTTTCGACTATAAAAATACTACAAACAAATTGACAACACTAGCAGGCCGCTAGAACACAGTAGAAAAAATATGGGCGGAGAAAATGCATATTATCGTAAACATGAAGTAAACTGGTAAAATAGTTGGACAGCAAAGCACATCTCCAACTTGCGATTTCTAACATTTTGTGAATTCTAAACAATTATTTATGTAAATCAAACCAGAAACTGATAGTGTACGAACCGATGTTATCTTCTCTTAATCATTTAAAACCTACCATTACCTCAGACAATACTATGAAATGAAGTGGGTGTCCGCAAATTTATTTTTGAAACACATGCTTCAACTAATCAAGTCAGTCAAAATTTTTGCTTAAGATCTGCTTTTATGGATAAAAATCACACCTTGGTCTAGCCAACTTTAAATTTTTACAACCTACTCACATCTTACCCCTGAGGTACTGTCTGATAACAGTATGAATTCGGTGGGGCAGCGATCGAGCTCGGTCACGTAACGGACCAACCATCCCTCTTTTTTCATCCTGTCCAAGCAGTAGCACCACTGAACAGTAAGGAAGACGCTGACGTTAGTAGCATAATTCCAAGAAACTGAAGCCGGTATTCCACTATAACAACACTTTTTTTAAAGAAAAGATTCCCAATGTCCCAAGACAAGTTTCCGTTGGACGCAAGTAATCCTACGGCAGCAGCGACGATCGACCATGCAATTTTGTAGCGGACAACCTCGTAGAGGTTACGTTTCGCAGACTTATAACAAGAGTGCGTTCAGTGAATCATTTCAAAACCTTGACAGTCACACTAGCGGCCCTATATGTGACCAAAGTTGGAATGTCATCCTGGCTTTAACTACACGGTTAAAGAATTCAACTGTTAAGCCATTCAAACACACGAACTTATTGACTGCTTCTAACAACTTGTAAGAGGGTTAAGGTACTGTCCTAATGTCCGGATAAAAGCAGGTGGTTGTTTCAAGGTACCAGCCTCGAGTCTTTGACTTAGAGTCAAATCCACAAGGCAATGAAGCAGTGTCAGGAGTTTTGTCCCCATAGACGCAAGTGACTAAAACACATCTGCACCTCATCCAACTATTTCGGATTCTCAAATCCATATGCACCATAGGGCCCAGATCAGGTTTTCAAGCTCCCCTGGGTAGGCATTCATAAGCACTAGTCCGGTGGTAAAGCCGAACATTCCTATTTGTCCTTCCACTTTCATGAGAATATCATTTGCCAGTGAACAGGACTTACTTGAGAGGGTGTGGACGCATGGCTGCATGTGAGTATTTCGAGAGACCAGAGTTTATGCATACTCCGCCATATCACGTCTTTTATGAGGAGGCTGCATAATAAAACAACTTATTTTTATCTAGACAGTAGTCGTTATTTTTACTGAAGTAGCATAAACTACTGATGCACAAACAGTAAATATTTATGGTTTGCAATCAGATGTGTTTTCTGAGCTAGTTGGTTGTTCAGGAAGCTTCCGTCGCCCTTCTGGACAACATTATTAGCGTTACTTCTCTATTATATTTATGGTATAGATCAAGATTGTAGCTCATCAGTAGACAACCATCTATGCATGGATCACAAATCTCAAGTGTGAGTGCAAGTTGCTTTCCAAAACGTGTGTCAAGTTATCAGACAACATCAAGAACGTTACCTACAAACCGTATTTTAAAATGAATGAATACTTTAGTGACAGAATGCCAAAGCAATTACGCTTACCGGAAAAACAGGTTTAGTTTGATACACCAAATATACTAACCTTTGACACAATCGGGACACCAATTGGTTCCATCCGGCAAAGGCGTCCCAGAGAAGAGAACAAATATTCTTTTTCCCTTGAACTTCTCAGCCTCAGACAAAAGTTGGTCTATGGTCTTAATTGGTGATATAAGCGTGCTAAAGTGACAAAAACAAGGTAGTGTACTTAACAAGGCTATGAAATGTTTTGATTACACGTAGTTTTGATTGTTAAGTACAATCCATACATAAAAATAGACAATACAGCCAAGAACAGTATTTCATCAGAATGCAAACTACGGACATCATATGGACAATTAAATACCACTAAACAAGATAAACAATCAAACTGGTCAAAAAAAGTCCACGTGAAAGAATTACACAATCACGGAAAATACACACTCAATCTTAGGAATTTTTAAATAGATATTTGCAAAGAAGAAAATTCTGTTTTCTGCACAGTCAACGAGACTGTACACGTGTGTATTTATATCAAATGTGTGAGAATGTTCCGGAATAATGCAACAGTACATGGAAGTCAAGTTCACTTGCTGCCAGAATATCACGAAGGCCTTTTGATTCAAATGACATTCAATGTATGTCTTCGTGATTGGTAGCACCACGAAATACTGCTCTTATGTGAAAGTTTATGCATTGTATATCCATCGAGCCAATGCAGCTGATTCTGAAATTTGAAAACTTGATAAATGGGATGTGGACATGGCTCACCAGAAGGTGACAGAGGCTGCGAAGGTGTCTCTGGTTTAGAAATAGGCGTACTTATCGCACCTGTTTGTTTGACTCCGAAAATATTAACATTGACGTTGACTTAAATGGTTATTCCACCTACTTGTTAGTACTAAATAATCAGTAAGTTATTGCTCACAGCAATTTATAAGGAGAAGTAATCCTTATATCCTAACAATCTGAAGATCAAGTCGACCTGTGAGACATTCGGATCTGTAAATGTAAACATATAAAAATAAATCAGCAGCAACCAAATGTAGTAATGCAGATAGGGATTAAAAATGTAATAAAACAGAAATAAACGGGAAGGTTGTACAGGAGAGGTAATGGAATAATCACTATTTTTGGGTCTGACTTTTCATGATAGCCAGGGTAGGGACAACGGTTGGATGTATTCCTTTTTGAAACATGAAGTAGGCTTGAGCTTTTGGGTCGCCATTGCTTCAGTTAATCCAAAATGTCTTGATTTCGCTCATTTTGGTAGGTTTCATCAGATCTTATACATGGCTTTGAAGGACTTTTCAAATGGAGGTAAATATTCATAATCCCCAGACGTTCTATTATCGAACTGTATACCCCTTTGTGTCCTCCCTTTGCTAACCATGCTGGATAGTGTTCCCGAAGGCGTTTTACAAGCGGACGCATGGTACACCCAATTATTTCGACTCCATACTAGAAAGTGAATTTGTATATGCTCGTGTGGAGTCGTGTGAGAAGATTAGTGGTTGTTAAAGAGTAACATCGAATCATTTGGATCAGAATTCCATAAGTTATTTGCAATTGGAGTGCTAATAGATTGTAGCCCAAAATTTATGTGGTAATATGTATAATTGTAATACCAAATTGAACACATATTACAAAGTTATTATGAATGACAACGAATGTGTAGTAATAAATCCTGATGAGTCATGTTTATATTAAATTCTATTCATATTGATTATAAACTTCAGATGAATGAATGATCATGTCAAGGACGGGGTTATAGGAAAAATCTTGGGGTAGAATTTTATGTGCGTTGTATGTGTCAGTGGGTAAGTTAACAGCTAAGTCTGAATAAGAAAACAAAAAGTGAGTTAATGCAAGCGTAATGACAAGGGGTAGGGAAATTTATCTGTACAGGATCGAGGGCCATATAAAAAAACTCCCTATGTAACAAGGTATTTATGAACTTGCAGACTCCACAACAGACCAGGGCGGTAATAGTGGCTTGGGGCAAAGTCAAACTATCATAGCCGAAATCGCAGTGGCCCTGAACGACTGATCAGAATTCAGGTGTAGAAAAGTCGCATAATCGTTGTAAAATAAACTAAAAAACATTGCTAACATATTACACTGTATAGTTATAGCTTATGTGTCTCAAGAATGCCTCCCAGTCAATACACCTATAATCTATGGAGAAATCGTTTATGCGCCATATATCCATACATGCTAGTGACTGTAGTAGGTCATGGTACTTTGAGATACACTGGTATTTATGACACTATCCTCCAACCTACTCATAACTCTAACCATAAACCTAACTTATGGGGGAATTGTCATCTGAATTGGTAACAACCAGTGGTGTCCGACAGGGATGTCCACTTTCCCCATTTCTGTTTAACTTCATCATAGATATCCTGATGGAAGCATCCTTTACTGAACGTAACGACTTAGGAATCGACTTGTTACCAGGGAGTAGTCTTATGGACTTAGAATATGCAGATGACATAGTCCTGTTGGGGGAGGATGCTGACAAAATGCAGAGTTTTCTGAACACCTTGAGCAGCAATCTTCGTATGTTTGGCATGCAATTCGCTCCTGAAAAATGCAAGATGCTGCTACAGGACTGGACTACGTCAACTCCTAGCTTAGTGATAGGGAGTGAAGTGATAGAACATGTTGACCACTTCACCTATTTGGGAAGTTGTATTAGCACCAACGGACTGATTGGCGATGAAATCTCAGCACGGATCCAAAAAGCTCGAGCTGCTTTCGCTGACTTACACCATCTCTGGCGTAGGCGTGACATCCGGCCATCAACCAATGGACGTGTGTACTGCTCATCAGTTCGCTCCGTCCTTCTCTATGGCTCTGAAACATGGCCAATACGAGTTGAAGACATGAAAAGGTTGACTGCTTTCGATCATAGATGTCTGCGATCTCTGTCTCACGTTAGGTGGTTTAGTAAGGTAAGTAATGCTGACGTTAGGCGTAGTGTTGGGTAAAGAGGGAAAATCAATCGACGAGGCTATAAAGTCACATAGATTGAAATGGCTAGGTCACGTGCTGCGCATGCCTAACCATCGCCTCCTCCGACGGGCATTACTAGCTGATATAGGTGTAGGTTGGAAAAGGGTAAGTGGTGGCCAAACAAAAACATGGCATCAATCCATGAAATCCTTGACAGTTAAACTGAGTCAAGTAGGGAGATGCAGACTTCCGGGTTGGGGCCCTCGGGACTCTAGGAATCAATGGCTGGAGACAATAGGTGATATGGCTCAAAATCGTTGTCAATGGCGCAGATGTATTCAGTTTCTGTAATCTTTCATATTCCTTTCTACCATTAACCATTCTGTTTCACTCGTATACTTGTCAAACTCTATTGATTCTCTTCACTCATCTTCTTGTCTACCTTTGTGTGCTATTTGGAACGTGGCAACTGGAACTGCTGCACTTCGGTGCCAAGTTCTATGTTGAATCCAGACAGACAGACAGACTAAACCTAACCTTAACCCTAGGTCTTAAACCGTATTCTTAAACGCCATAACCCTAGGGCTAGGCAGCTACTTAACAATATAGATTTACAGAAAAGTACGTAGTAAATAAGCAGAATACTGTATCTACCCTCTCCAAGTGCAAAAAGGCAGACATGATTGGATTTGGAATGATATGATCGGTCCTTGAAGGTCAACTTTTCAAAGACTTTGGCTATGATACTTTAACTTACCCATGGTTCGGCCTGTTTCCTCTGTAAATAGACCACCAGTTGTCTTAGGTGAGCTGAAGCAGCTTCAGCTCTTTGGAGTATTCGGTACCTGGATGCCTTTGGCAATTTATTTGGTACCCGGTAGGTGATAGAGAAGAATTCTCCAATACCGGCTTAGTGGACCAGGTGGTCTGGTATCGAGTTGTTGCTACACCTTTTATTTATTCGCACTGTTAGTTGTCCCCGAGCACGAAAAAGCAAATTCCTAGAGCAGCGACCAATATAAGTCATTCACAAGCTTAGTTGAATTGGTAGGTTCAATTGGAAGTGACTAGTCTACTTCATCTTTCAATCGAGGAATCACCATCGATCGTGGAAAAGATGACTTGTAGTTGACCAGCATTAGTAGTTCTTTGAGTGGGTTTTTCTTAACTTCCTAGCAATTATTTCACTAGGTGAGTCACCCTTGAACTACAGTCGTACATATAAAAGCTTCTTATTTAAAGATAGAGAATAATCATTTTTTGCTTTCGTGGTCATGTGTTTCTTGATGAACTTTTGATTAGCGGTGTATTGATTGGGAGGCATTCTTGAGACACATAAGCTATAACTATACAGTGTAATATGTTAGCAATGTTTTTTAGTTTATTTTACAACGATTATGCGACTTTTCTACACCTGAATTCTGATCAGTCGTTCAGGGCCACTGCGATTTCGGCTATGATAGTTTGACTTTGCCCCAAGCCACTATTACCGCCCTGGTCTGTTGTGGAGTCTGCAAGTTCATAAATACCTTGTTACATAGGGAGTTTTTTTATATGGCCCTCGATCCTGTACAGATAAATTTCCCTACCCCTTGTCATTACGCTTGCATTAACTCACTTTTTGTTTTCTTATTCAGACTTAGCTGTTAACTTACCCACTGACACATACAACGCACATAAAATTCTACCCCAAGATTTTTCCTATAACCCCGTCCTTGACATGATCATTCATTCATCTGAAGTTTATAATCAATATGAATAGAATTTAATATAAACATGACTCATCAGGATTTATTACTACACATTCGTTGTCATTCATAATAACTTTGTAATATGTGTTCAATTTGGTATTACAATTATACATATTACCACATAAATTTTGGGCTACAATCTATTAGCACTCCAATTGCAAATAACTTATGGAATTCTGATCCAAATGATTCGATGTTACTCTTTAACAACCACTAATCTTCTCACACGACTCCACACGAGCATATACAAATTCACTTTCTAGTATGGAGTCGAAATAATTGGGTGTACCATGCGTCCGCTTGTAAAACGCCTTCGGGAACACTATCCAGCATGGTTAGCAAAGGGAGGACACAAAGGGGTATACAGTTCGATAATAGAACGTCTGGGGATTATGAATATTTACCTCCATTTGAAAAGTCCTTCAAAGCCATGTATAAGATCTGATGAAACCTACCAAAATGAGCGAAATCAAGACATTTTGGATTAACTGAAGCAATGGCGACCCAAAAGCTCAAGCCTACTTCATGTTTCAAAAAGGAATACATCCAACCGTTGTCCCTACCCTGGCTATCATGAAAAGTCAGACCCAAAAATAGTGATTATTCCATTACCTCTCCTGTACAACCTTCCCGTTTATTTCTGTTTTATTACATTTTTAATCCCTATCTGCATTACTACATTTGGTTGCTGCTGATTTATTTTTATATGTTTACATTTACAGATCCGAATGTCTCACAGGTCGACTTGATCTTCAGATTGTTAGGATATAAGGATTACTTCTCCTTATAAATTGCTGTGAGCAATAACTTACTGATTATTTAGTACTAACAAGTAGGTGGAATAACCATTTAAGTCAACGTCAATGTTAATATTTTCGGAGTCAAACAAACAGGTGCGATAAGTACGCCTATTTCTAAACCAGAGACACCTTCGCAGCCTCTGTCACCTTCTGGTGAGCCATGTCCACATCCCATTTATCAAGTTTTCAAATTTCAGAATCAGCTGCATTGGCTCGATGGATATACAATGCATAAACTTTCACATAAGAGCAGTATTTCGTGGTGCTACCAATCACGAAGACATACATTGAATGTCATTTGAATCAAAAGGCCTTCGTGATATTCTGGCAGCAAATGAACTCGACTTCGATGTACTGTCGTAGTATCTATATAACATCACTTGTAATCGAACACCAATCAACAGGATAAAATAACCAGCCATTACCTCATGCTGATCGCCAGCTGTTTCTTGGTAGCGCATCACTCATGTCATCAAGGTTCAAATTTCAATTTATCCAAACGTTCAATTAATGGTCTACTCAGCTTTCACAGTGCATGCTTTTTGAAGAGACTAAGTGAAGATAGGTGTATCTGGAAAATTAACGGTCGCTAATGTTCTTGAAAGTCAATTTTGAGTTTGAAGTACCTGTTTACTATCCAACTTGATACATTCAACGACCCATTAACAATACAACATAAAGGTATATGCTGTGATTGCTTGAATTTATTTCGCCCTGTCCTGTATACGAACAGTCACACCATGTACAAATGCACTGCTGCAGCATATCAATTACTATAGCGAGTAATAGAAAGTGATTCAGATGTAACAAATTCACATGAAAGTCACGGACATGAGTTTTTTGAACGGAACATGAGTTATGTCTACTGTCAAAATTAATGCTTTAAGTGTTCCGAATTTCTCATTCAACCGTTTACAGTCTCCCTTATAGAATTTTCGTGCATTTCGAATCGCTATTTTTCCATCTTCTTATAAATTCAGCCCCAGTAGAACTGATGGCATCTCAGGACTATTAGAACTAGTACTGTTTGCTGGAGTTGTCGCTAAAGATCAATGCAAACTCCCTGCTGTCCAGTCCAGCTGAATTAAATTATTCAGACATGTTAAGTCGTCAGATTATTCATATGATCTACATTTATAGTCAGAGTTTTGCAGTTGTTCAGAAAAAATTCTTCCCGTTCCACACCTTTTGAGGTCATGAAATGTTTTATGAACGCAGTTCTAGCCACTATTTTGGCACATAACAAACAAGTTTCTCAAAGAAATGATTCGCAATGATCCCGAATATATCGAAGCTGTGTGTCGGTGGCACAGTGATTAGGACTCTCGCCGACCATGCATATGGTCGCGGGTTCAATCCCCTACCGACTTACACCTGATATCTATGGTCGGCCTGTAACAGAAAATACTGTGTGGAATCAAGCTGTAATCAAAAAAATCTCCAGTCCAGCTTGTACCTTCATCAAGAATACTGAATTGACAGAAAATTCTTGATTTCCTCACATGCAGTGGAAAGATGGGGCAGCCTGTCGATGGCCGTATTTACGTGGGTCCGTGAGTGAAGTAAACTAGTGATACAGTCGTTTTTGTTTGCTCACTTTACCATAAGATTTGTAGTGATTTCAAACACCATTTAGCTGTTTTGTGAGGTTATCCATTCCACTTAACGACAATCCTTTTGTCTAAATACTGTTATACCGTATTTTGTATTAACTACCTAGGTCGTTAATAAAAATAAAATTCACTCCTTTCCTCGTGTTCGAGGCTTGCTTAAAGTCTGGTTCCTCTGGCGAAAACAAAAACACAACACCAACGTTTGAACAGAGCTATATTTCCATCGAAAATGTCGCGGATTTCCATGGTACGACCAATATGGTTGGCTTTAAACACTGCGAATGTGTACCATCATTCCAAGTACATTATAGTCCCTTCTTTTAATTATCTTGTAAATGACTTAAACAGCACCATCTCCAGGCATCACCTTGACATGGATCATGAGGTCAACGTCAATGCATCGTTCAAAATTACCAATATGCAAAAGAGTTAGATTCTTACAGAATTTGCCGAAGCGGTCTCCGTCAAGCACAGGAAACCCGACTTATGCGTTCAGAAAAAAGCAGTTATCAGTCTTCCTTTGCCTTGGTAACTGAATATTTTCATCCTCTTTTTTGTCTGACTTCGTAGTGTCAAAATTTTCCATTGTGTATGATCATTGTTAATGTAGTTGGAGAATGAACGATCAATTCATGGTTGTTAACTAAAAACTAACCCCATATTTTGTCGGGAGTCATCAATACTACAGTCATCGTTCAATTGTTCGCTGTTCGTTAGAAGACGGAGAAGTACTATTAGAAACTTTGTGTATAATAACCTTATTGTTGGTTACACATTGGCGCAAGAATAAAGAATTCTCGAGTCGCCAATCCGTGTTCTGGTTTTTCACGCTGGTTATTACACGTTGTTGCTGAAAGCCTTCTAAGGATATAACTTCCTTCTTACAATACGGCTGTTTTGCAGTTAAAGTCGAAAAAAGTACATAGTATTTATCGGTTCGGAGCGTCTTCGTAACAATAGGGACTTAGGGATAAGTTTCATGACAGTTTTTATTCATCTGTTCGCTTTCTGGAGCGCCTTCTCGAACTATTTCGGGTGAACTTACTCCGTCTGTAGCCAGCATCTTTCAACGCGGACTATCGATGCAATTGGGATACTTTGATGACGTTGGATAATGCCTGGGCCAACAAAGGTACAGGAGAGTAAGTAAGGATGAGTTGCCTGTTAATTGTAATGATATTCATGATGCTCAGCACGATTATTCCGATGACAACACTTAGCCGTTTAGAGATAGCACCGCGTTAGGGCTCCCTAAGTATGAACCTCTGTAATTTGGTGGAAAACCATTTGACTACGCACAGATTATCAGGGAGTTTGAGGTCATGCTGAGTGGTTATTAAACAAATGACGAAATGAAGTTAATGTATTTGTTGAGATACTGCACTGGAGTTGCTTCAAGAGCTACACAGTGCTGTAAGGCTATGCCCCAAAAAGAAGGATATACTGAGGCGATGCGTATCCTACGTCAAAGATTCGGAAGACCTTCAATGATTGTAAGGAACGTATTCGACGCTGTTAAAGGTAATGGTAGTCAATTACGAGATGACTACAAGGCACTCTCTGAGTTTCTGGATAATCTGATGACCTACAAGAATACGTTGATTTCGATGAATTGCGTCAGCGATCTGAACTCAAGTTCCGTCATAGAGGTAATAGCGAGACGCCTGCCTACTCGACTACAAAGGAAGTGGGTGAAGATAAGATCCCGTATAGAGGATGAAGGTATTGAGCCAGAGTTCCATGATATTCTGAAACTGGTAAAAGATAGTGTCAATCAAGCTATGAGCAAGTTTGCCAGTTTGTTGCATCCCACCCCTAAAATAGAGAAGTCTGAGAGCAAAACGCAATCATTTATGACGAAAGGGTCTCAGGGAAGCGGATATCGAGAAAGCTTTATGGTGTCTAGTAATCCATATAAACTAAGTGAATGTAACAGATTTCGTGGGACATCCCGAACAGATAGGTTACAAGTTGCGAGACAAACACGGTTGCGTTTCGTCCATTTGCAAGAAGTGCACACAAAGACGAACTGTGAATCAGTGACCAAGTTTAGTAGTGCGCTAAATGTGAAACCAGCGTCATCAAGGTCTGACTACGAATTGTGTGATGATAATGGTGCAGTGAAGAAGCCTGTATTTGCAACTGGTAAGCCATTGTTGAATAGTGTCACAGAAGAGAGTTACAGTTTCAGATTCCAGTTCTGACTCCACAAGTTTACAAGGTATTACTAGTCAGAGTGAAGGTACAAAACCTTTAAGGATTTGTGAGGAGGAACCAAAATTGTCTACTTCTGTTATTAAAGAGTTTGAAAATGATGAAATTGACGGTGCACGTTTGTCTATGGTTGATCATGATGAGATGAGCGGAATGCGTACCACTACTACTACTACTACTACTACTGAGTAGAATAAAAGTTCTGTACAACTTGAAGGTGAAGCAGAATTAAATGCAGATGCAGTTGAAGAAGGCAGGAATACTTGTCAGACCGTCAGTATAATTGATCAGCGTGTAGCCCACCTATCATCAGATGACAGTGCTAAACCGGAGCTGATAGTTATAGACAGCAGTGGTGGTAGTCTAGCAGTCAGACAAATTTCTGAAGGCCGAGCAACAACAGCTTTTAACCCACCGCTAACTTCATCAACTGGTATCAATCAGTCGTCGTTGGTGTTGTCATCCACAATGACAGAGACGCCCATCAACTGAAGTGCCTTGTGCAATGACTATGATAGTATTGGTGCATTTGGAAGGACGAAAGATATTGCTCAGTTTAGTGAGGATAAGCCCAGTGTGTACGAGAGGGTAATTGTTAAATTGACTTGCATGAATAAAGGCATTTCTAGTTTCAAGTTACTATTTGAATGTTATTTTCTTTTGTGTAAATTACTCTGTTTCTACGCTTGGTTGACCAGATACGTCGTGTGTTTGTTCGTCATCTATATTCTACGATACAATGTCATGGGCGTGTTGCCGTTCAGATTTGAAGATATAGCTGATAGAAGGAAGTCAGCAAATGAACTCTGAGACGATTTTCCAACCTAGGGCGTCAACCTGAGAAGGGTTGTAGGCGTACTGCTGTAAGTCCTACAGTTCTTCAAAGGGTAGCGCATCAATGAGCAGTCCAATGTGCTTGGTGTGTGGTTTTGTACATATGTTCATATTGTATATACTGAATTGATATCATCTGTCATCTAGCTGTTGGTAATTCTATTTGTGTCCGGACGACTTCCACTTGTATCATCAACCTGAGAAGGAATGTAGGCGTACTGCTGTAAGTCCTACGGTTCTTCAAGGGTAGTTCGTCAAGTCAGAATCTACAACATTTGATGTATTGATTGTACATATGTTTGTGCAAAGTAATTGAGTGGGTTCTAATTATTGTAATTATTGGTTAGTCTCGATTGTGTCCGGACATTTCACAACTTACAGTCGTTAACCTGTGAAGGGTTGTAGGCGTACTAGTGTAAGTCCTGAAATTCTTCAAAGGAATTCCACCAAGACATGATCCGCGAGGTTATTTGTACTGTTTGTATATGTGTATGGTGTGTCATATCAATTGGTGTGTTTGGATTCACTGTGTTTACTCGTTGTTTTCGTACCTTGTTGTTATTGCGTAATTTTGTTAAATTTTCGTTGTCCTTACTTCTGAAGTTGTTTTTAGTCTTCTACATCCGTGAATGAATTGATTGATTTTAAAGAGAGCAGATGGGTCGTATACGCCGGGGAGGCTGGGCTAGTGCTGAGAATGACATGTACACGGAGATGAGGATAAGCTGTGGAATCAATGATTGAGAATGAATGTTACTATTTAGGCTGT